CTCTTTAATTTTTCTAATTTTGGATGCTCCACGTATTTGTCGACTGCCTCGCCTTCACCTGTGTACCTCTCGCTATTTGACGAAGACATTGTATATTTCGAACACCAACACACGACACACAAACACTGATTATTTAAAAAGTATATATACTTTTTTGTTAAATAATCACTCGCTATAGTGGATGGGACTTTGCTGCTCGCACTGCGACGTTGTATTTTGTACTGTCTGTAGACATGCACTTTGATCTATGAAGAGAGTAAAAAAACACGAGGTCCAAGCTATATAAGCTATGCGCAGAGGCCACTTAAAACTCGCTGAACGTTCACTCGTACGCGATTGCGCAGAACAAGAGAGACAGAGGTTCATGACGAGACAGAAACATTTGAAATTTTAACTTTTCTTGATTTTGAATGTTTTGTAAGTATATCAATTAAATTATTGATTTGCGTGGATTATAATTTGTTTAAATCTTTAGGCATATATTATATTAGGTATTAAATCTAATTAATTAATCTATGGAAATCATATATTTATTAATCAATTAATTAATTAATAAATGAATATATGATTTCGATAGAAAATTTTCTCAACTGTGCAGTCAGATTTTTTGAAAAATCTTATTTTCAACAGGAAAAATCAAAAATAAACCTTAAAGATCACTTTTTCCGTACCGAGTTTTTCGAGATATTCAGCTTAGCACGTTTGATGGCGATTTTCTCGGGGAATGTGCGACGTATCGGAAAATTTGATACCACCATTGGAAAGTTGAGAAAATTTCCTATCGAACCTACAAGCCAGTTATTATCTTTAAATGAGTTTTCATACTTTTTCAGTGACTTAGAAATTGAGTAACTAGCCGCGTTTACCAGAAAACATAATTTTTCGTCCTCTAAATCACAAAAGTAGCTGTAAAAGTAAGCACTATTGAAATTTCAATGGTTCCTACGTGGTTACATGCTCCTAGGACCCCCAAAAACATTTCCCGAGGGTCTGTATCCGCGTAGGTTGAAAAAAAAATTTGCCGCGATTCTACCTCCAAAAATGCGTTTTATTTAAAGAATTTCTCATATATATCTCGTATACTATGTGCGTACGAGTGAGGAAAATCGCGTTTTCATTCATAAATTCGCGGCGCTGCTCTCGATGCTGCACAGTCGTAGAGCATACATTGCAATTTCTCAACGCGGAGTCGGGCCTTGTATACGTTCGCCTAATGCGTTATGCTAAATAATAACTCGTATGTGTGTGTGTTGGTTCGCAGGTTGCGAGTCCACGGGAGAATCGTAAAAAAAGATTGAAACGCGCGCACGAAACGATAATGGAAACGCTTACTCGCGCTTATGTATGTGGGACATTCTACGAACATACGCTTTGCAAAATTTTGAAAAAATATATCGATGGTCAAAAAACAAGTTAATAAGGCTAGTTATCGATCAAAATTTTTTTTATTACTTTCAAAACGATTTTTAGTTACACTTATTATGTCACTTAATTACTGACATCATGACTTTGGTCAACAACCGCCAAGCAAGGCTAGTTATCGATCAACATTTTTTTTATTACTTTCATAACGATTTTTAGTTACACTTATTATGTCACTTAATTACTGACATCATGACTTTGGTCAGCAACCGCCAAGCAAATATTATATAAATCTTTGTTCTCCAGCTGCTCGATGATCAGTTCACAGCACTCAATTGGCAATCGGTAATATATTAATACCACAAAAGACTCCAGTGTCCAGCAGCGGAAAAATCGTTTTGACAGTTTCTCACACAGATACGAATCACAATCCTCGTTGTGAGGACGCTTCCAAAATTGTTCCGCATACCAGATATTGTAGTAGTCCGTGCATGTGAATCGCTTCGCCGCCTCTTTGGGTCGTAACTGGACCAAGTCATAGAACGACAGATTCGGACGTATGTTCCATTGTTTCGCTCTTCTCACGAACACCTCGTCGTCGTACCAACACTTTTCCAGATCCACGGACTTGTCGAACAATTCGTGCTTCGCGAAAAATTCCATTATCGTCAGTGCGTCGCTTCGGTCCAATTCGTATCCTTTATTTTCCAGGCGCTCGACGACCGCCAGTGCGCTGGATGCTCGTCTAAATTTAAACCAAGACTCGCTATGTCTCACTTTCAATTTCTCGCCAAAATAACTCCCGTCGGGAAAAACGAAATTAGACAGATCAGCCCCACGATCAAAGAGCACATCGACAGCTTTCGGCTCAAGACTCGCTACAGCCAATTGCAGCGGCGTCCGACCCAACCCGTCCCGTGCATCGACCTGTAAAGTTTGATTCTGATCATCGATCATTTTGAAGTACCGTTCTACAATGTCATCTTCACAGTATCTATTTGAACTATACGTATCATAATTATCCCCTCTCTTGCAAATTAAGTGTAAAGCTGTCGATCCCTCTGCATTAGCCAAATTCGGATCTATACCTCTTCTCAGCAGCAGTTCAACCGTATTCATGATACCGAGCCTGCGCACGCATTTTATCGTCAAGTGCAACGGTGTGTTGTCTAAATTGTCACGGGCGTTGATATGCACTGTCCGCTCAAGGTAGTCGTTGATCTCGAAAAAAACCTTCATCGGGCAATATGCATTGTTATAACTGCCGACCATAGAGTGCAGAGGTGTTGATCCATCGTTATTGGCCAAGTTGGGATCGGCGCCTCTTCTCAGCAACAATTCGACTACTAACGTGTTGAGGCCCCTCGCGGCGAAGTGCAGCGGCGAATCACCCGTTTCTTCCACGACGAGATTCGGATCCTGACCGAGCTCGAGAAACTTCTTGACAAAGTCACGACAGTCTGAGGCCGTGCAGGCCAAGTGCAAGTGCGTGAGGCCCGAATCGTCCTGGTAATTCACATAGAACTTGCTATAAATTGTTAATAGATCATGGATGATTCTGTAGGGTGTCCATCTGTTGAAACAATGCAGCGGTGTGGCGCGAAGCGACAATGTCTTGCCGTCGATATCAACGGTGGGTTCATGCCTATAGCCAGTGCGAGCTACAAATCCAATGACTTGGGCTATCACTACCCAATCACCATTAGATAAAATTTTTGAATCAAAGAGAAGACGCTCAATTTCTTCGGGCTGAAAAATGTTCCGGAGATCAGGAAGTTGGACCTTCCAATTTTTGAATAAACGAAAAATTTCATAGAAAATATTGCTTCGCTCTTCTACGACATCCCGATAACCCTTTTCTCGTAATATCTTCAATTTCTCCAAGTTTGAGAGTCGGTTAAAGTTATGGGGCAAACTCATCATGTGAATATCATACAGGCTTAGATCTCAATAAACTATCTTTTTAGAGCACTCACACAGTGCACAACCGCTTATAATATAAAATATTTTACACTTTTTTCACGAGAATCACTTGTTCAGTTGATACTAACTTTTCTTGATCACTTTGCAGAGTCGTGATATGTACCGACTTACACTGTTACATGAACTACAGTGGAGATGAAAGACACGTACTCGAAGCCGTTGAGTATGAGTCGTTAATTGGTATAATAACAAATAACAATAATAACAATAGTACACGGCTAGGCATAGGCGCCGTCTCTACTTTGTTCGACGTATACTTTCTAATCGTTACCGAATTAAGATACGCACAAAGTTAATCGAAGCTTTATCGAAAGTGATCAAAAATATTTCGTGAAAATCCTATACAGATTTTTGAGAATAAAGCTTTCTCACACAAATGTAAAGCATAAACGCGTTCAGGTTTATTGAAGCAGATGAGTCCATTAGATAACTTGAGCCGTTCGTTATCGTGCATAGTTTCTCCGCCTCTTCAGGTTGCAACTGTATCTAAGTGGTCGAGCGATAGATAGACTCGGATTAAGTCTATATTCTTTCGCTTCTCTCATGAACTTCTCGTCTTCATGCCAACGTTCTTCAAGTTCCATGGACTTCTCATAGTACTTAACGATACAAGTGCCATAAGTAACACTATTTGGCATGGCGTAGTTTAGGGACCGAGCGCAGCGATAGCTAATTTATCTACTACCATTTTGCAAATAATGTGCTGAGGTATAAATCCCTTTGCATTGGCCAAATTTGGGCCAGGCCACGTGTCAAACGAAAATGAACAATCATTATCAGCGGCGAGTCGCTTGTTTTTTGACGATTGATACGATCTATATGAGTGTAAAGAGCACATGCGCCAAGTTATTGGAGATTTTGACGCCTCTACAATTTCATTATGGTAACGCGGAATGGCTACAGCTGCTTAGTTCTTAGCTTTTCTTAGTTCTTACAAGACCGCCACAGTTAAAGTGTAGCGCGCTTTTTTTAAAGCTAGGAGAATGACCCATATTATACGTTCGCAAGCCGAGAGAGAAATATCACTTTCTCGCGTCTAAATCACAATCTGCCAATACTTTTTGCGCGTGCAGAGGTTGGCAAGATTTTAAAACTTTATTTCTCGTTTTGGGATAAGGATCAACATGTTTCACCTTGTATTTTTACTGGGATTGGCCTGTAATCAATGCCTAAGCAGGACGAAATAAGCATATATAAATAGGACGCGGGCGGGGAGAGTCACCAAAATAAATATAAAAAAGTAAAGTTGAATTTGTATTTTCAAAAGCTACCATGAGATATAGCCTTGCTTCGCCGCCAGCCTATGTCATATATAATAGTGTGAAAAGCACAGAAAATTGAAAGTTCGCTACATATACATAGCCATGGAGTATACGTGTAGCGTAAGAGATCGTACGCGTCGGTGGCTGTCGCAGCGCCAACGTCTACGCGCGGGAAAAAAAGTGCAGACGGACGTGAGCTGTAAAAAAGCGTGAAGACGTACGAAAAATCGCGAGTCTCGATTGCATCAGAGAATAGAGAGCGAGAAGGAGAGAGAGAGAGAGAGAGAGAGAGAGAGAGAGCTGAAAATGTAGAGGAAGTGTGCTGTCTACTCTGTTGCTTTTTTTCGTCGATGGCTTCAGTGATTTCACAAAGAAAAAGATTTTGAAACTTACTCTTTTTTCTTTTGTATATTCTAATAAGATATGATACTTTGGATTTTCAATTCGATGTTTTTGGTGGCGTGACGCGAGAGAAACTGGAAGCAGTACCCACCTGAAACAAAAATTTATACAAAAAATTCAATGATTATTCTTAATGCACACGGATATATTAAATATCAACACATTCACAAGCAAAAGTTACTAAATTCGCTAGAACAAGGGCCTCAAAGTCAGATTATGGTCATTTTTTACTATGTACACCCGCCGGGCTAGATACGCGGACCTCGAATGTGTTGCATTCGATTAGCCGCTTGCTTCACTGCGCAACGTACTTCGTGAAACTGTAGTCACGCGCTGTTGTTTATAATCAATGAAGGAAGCTAATAATCGATCGCAAATTTTCGAGGTCCGCGTATCTAGCCCGGCCGGTGTACATGCTAAAATATGCCGTGGTTCTACCTCCAAAAATGCGTTTTATTTAAAGAATTGCTCATATATCGACTCTGGGATTCTTTTTCCAGAGAACATAGCGATATTTGCCAGCGAATGTGTTGATATTTAGAATAGTATTTCACTCCGTGCGTATCTTACTATAATATCAATTTATAAGAAAGAGCTAATTATTTGGCTATTATTGTCGTACATTGCACTAACGAGCTGATATCAAAAGTGTCAGTGTTGAAGAAATTTTCTACGGCTCTCGTCAAAACAATTTCATACTAATCTCTGTATGAGATTTCACAGTACTCTCGCACACACACGCACTCGAGACTCGAGGCGCTCTTTCTGCAATTTCAATTTGCCTGTGTACGTGCGCTCGTAAACACAGCTCGTATGTATATACGCGAAAGATTTGGAAACGTATTTATTAAAAAAAAAAGGCCGAAAAAAAGCGAGAGAAAAAAAAGAGAGCTCGCGCGCGCGCGTCAAGATACTTGACATTCAAGAGTCAATATGTGCGCAGAGTCGCTTTGACGCTTGAAAATTTAAACGCGCGCCCTCGCTCCTCGTCTTCCAATTAGTATCGCGCGTCACCAATGGCCTAGGTCTCGCTCTCGTGCACTGCGCACAGCGTTTATATACATATAACTGTATATATATGTACCAGGTACGACTTGTACCTGTCGTGGCAGAGCATCGTCATATTTAAGCTTAAAATTTGCCGACACGAGCTTTGCTGCGCTGCTGTTATACGTGTGTGCGTAGCAGTGAGAGAGTTACTTTCGACCCTGTAAACGCGGGTGTACGCTATAACGAGACGAAACGAGCGCAGTAGTGTATATAATATACGTATACGCGATGTAATATACCTTACATCGCTAGGTAGCTTCGCGAATTTGATTTTGCGCCAGGCTGAGTTTTGCCATACGACTCTCTTTCGAAAATATAATATGCACTATTATATTGCCAAAGCATAATAATGATAAGCTTCTGAGAATGAAGTATATATACTTCTATACTATACGCGTACGAAACGTATTTATATGCGCGAGTCGTATACACATGCGCAGCTTGAGGTCGACGAACTCGGAGGGAATTACTCTTTTCCATCGGCAAAAGAGAGTAAGTACATCTCTGTCTCTCTCTCTCCTGCTCTACGCCGCAGCATCAGCAGCAGCGGCACGGTTGCATGCGGCCGACGCGAAATAAAGAAATTTCACTCCGATCGCTTTAACAACCGACGCGCTAGTATATAGCTACAGAGAGATGAAACATCACCGTGCGGTAATGATCCTTGAACTTTCATTCCCTCTCGTATTGCCCCGTACGTACGTGCCTCGCGTGTGTATGCGCGTCGCCTATATTTGTTTCTGACTACTTTTACCTCGATTATCCCCGGCTGTGCGAACGTTTATGTAATATCGTCGATGAAGATGTTACTTTTAGGTGGTAAAAAAGAACACGATTGTATATTATTATCCATAATCAATCAGTTGGATGAATACGGATGAATCGCTACGAAATTATGGAATATTTTTATTATATGTTACCGTGCAAATTTTTTATTCCGAAGAATGAAATTTTTTAAAGCTATAAAAAGATATAAAGCTTCGAAGAGATAAAATTGTTAATACAATTATGCGGGAACTTGGGGTCATGGAACGCCCCAGGATGTAAGCAATAAGATGTAATAAAGAGGAGCACGTGTCGGGCGTTATGCGAATTTATCATGCTCCTTTTTTTTCATTCGCGTATACATACATAGCGGCGCACTCGCGCACACTTTTCACACTTTCGACGTACGTATACTACTGCTGCTGGTACGCGCGCGCACACGAGGTGCCAAGGTGGTATATTTTATACCGCGAGAACTGCTGCTGCTGCTGCAGTCGAGGAAGTGTCTATATATACATACGGAATATGCATTAAACAGCTGCAGTCCGGCGTATAGCATAGATGTATACGTATATATCTACGTATATATACGCGCGTATACTTAGGTGCGGCGCGCATCGAATGATAAAAATTCATGCTTCGTACCGAAAACCCCGTTGTACGTAGATATAGAGAGGGAACGAGAAGGGCTGGAAAAAAAAGCGAGAGGATGGGGCAAGTAACGCATTCTATTCGTATACCATCGAAATTCGATAGAATTTCGCTTCGGCGAGAGGGGGAGGGAGTATACGACGACGACGACGTTGCACCGGGGTGTGTTGCATATAGAATTCTCTCATGCTGACGCCGTAATAAGAGCCACTTATGCCACTTTTACCACCTTTCTTTCCTGTCGTATATAGATACTTATCATTGCTATGTCTACGCTATGATTTTTTTATACTTTTCGGCAAACTTTTTGCGTAAAAAGCGTACCAAAAATCTCTGTTTATATATATCCTGCGAGTAGTTTCGAAATCGAAAAAGTAATCCCGAAATCGAACTCTCTTCTACCGAAAAGGTGCATTGCCCCGAAAATTCATTTTTTTTTCTCGCACGCGCAAATACCCTGGGTTATATAGAGTACTAGTAGGTCGCGCCCAAGCCCCAGCACACGTGAAAAATGCAGAACTCCACCACGCGCGTCAACGCTACAGACACGAGAGAGAGAGAGAGATAGAGCTTCGCTGCTCGCTCTATCTCTCCTGCGTTCGGTCATACTTTTCGCCGAGCTCTAGCTCACTCGTGCGCGCAGCAGCACACTAGACACTGACAAAGTTCTTTCCTCTCTCTTTCGTACGGGGAGGTGAGAGGAAGCTGGTGCGGAGGGATAGAGAAAAAGAGGAGTTTTATATGCGCTTTCGCGCGCGATCGATTGTTCCATTTTAAAGCCGCGGACGCGGCGCGGCGCGCCGATTGTTTCGATACCCAGGCGCTTGCAATGCGCCGCCGGATTATATACGTATTACCGGGTCGTGATGCTGCTTCCCTCGGCTTATATCTTTTTCTCGCTCTCTCTCTCTCTCTCTCTCTCTACGCGCGATGCTACTGCTGCTGCTACTGCTGCTGCTCCCTTAGTTCTTTTACATCGAGGCTGCAGCAGCCTTTCGCTTCTACGTGCTATTTTTTGTTTTATTTCTGCGCCCAGTTTAAAACGTTCGTTCGTTCGTGATGCATTTTTTCAACGCGAAACTTTGCGAATACGAGGCTACTAATACTTTTTTTTTACTTATATATCGTTCGCTATGTATAGTATCGGATGCTGCAGCAGCAGCAGCAGCAACGGGTACAGCATTTATCGAAAATGCGAAGCAGATACACGAGGGCAACTTCAAAATCGTCGAATTTCACCGTTTGATGCGTGCTGCAGCGTTTAACGTGAACTTTTGTTTATTAATTATGACTGAGATTTACCGAGGAGGAAATATATATAATAAAAAATAAAGGGATCAATTTTGCGCATATCGAAAGGAGTACGTGAAAACTTTAATGTCTGGCTGCGGTTCCAAGTTTTATATTTGGTATATCAATCAATTATCAGCGATATTCATATTCCCAATTATGAAACGAAAATTTTGCATTATTAAATTATATAATTTATGGCATAATTCGGTGCCGCTTATCTTATCGAGGATACCCATTATTCTATAAACGAAATTCCCATTCTCTCTCGCGCAGCATTCGAATGATATACTTCATTAATTGATTAATTGAATAAGTATTATAATACAGTCGCATCCCACACACGGAACGTAAACAAAACCCAAATTGCCGAGGATATAAATTTATCCTCGACAGGACAGATCGTACAGGATATCTTTCGATGCGTGCACGTCGGTAGAGAGGTATTTGAATATTCCACAGAAGTAGGGAGGGGGAGTAGACTGTCTTTGGTATACAGCAAAGTTCGCAAGCTCGACAATAATAACGCGCGGCGCGCGCCTTTCCTTTCTGCAGCGCGGCGCATGCACACGCGCTTTAAGTCACATGCGCGCAGCTCGCAAACGCATACCCTTTCTCGAACTATGTTCGTAATTAAAGCCTTCGTGCACTGCGCGTACACACGTACACACACACACTAGTCTCTCACCTTATGCCCGATACCATGCATGAGCGAGCTTGGAAAATATCTTGCCACGAGGATCGCATGGGCGTGCAGCAGCAGCAACGCAGTAGCTCGCACCAGCTTTAGAGAGAGAGAGCATTTAATTGCAAATTTCAAGCTCGAAAAGAGATTCGGTATGCGTAAAAATTGACTGGAATTAGTGCCCCCCAAAAGACGCGCCCGCCTCTATTATATACGTTATACACGATGAAAAATTAATTCATTCATTATATATGCTCGGCAGAAATATGTACAGCTCAGTGGTGACGCAGCAACAGTACGAAGTCAAAGAGATCAGCGCGGAGGCAAAAGAGAAGCCGACAACGACGACGGAATGCGACTCCGAGCCGACTCCTTTGCCGTGCGACGAGGAGGGCACGCAGCCGATTATTTGGCGAAACGTCATCGGCATCGCGCTCCTCCACATCCTTACGATTCGGGCATTTTATCACGTTATCACGGGCTACGAGCAAGCGACACTGGCCACCTGGATATTCAGTAAGTTTATGCATTATTATAACGACGTCGAACAATTAGATTAGAGAATTTTAAAACGGCGCTACGCGCGCGCGCGTGCATGGCGTCGGGACGCGCGACGACTATATTTATACGATGGGGGGCACGACGAGGCTGTAGGAGCTCTAGGATAAATCGATTATTTTTCAATGATTATCGAAAATCGATGCCGCTGCCGTTGCCGCGCCGGCGTCGGCTAACCGAGGCTAGTGTTCGGAGCTTAATTATACTGCCACCGAATCTAGATAGAGCGAGAAAAGTACATATTCATGTCACGTTTCGACTAAACTTCTCTCTCTCTCTCGCTCTCTGGACGGCCACTGCCTTTCTGGCTGGAATCCAGAAATACGCTCGGCTCCGGCGAATACTCTATACACAGACACACACTCACACATATAACTACGATACACACGATAAGCGCAATGTCCGCGCGTGCATGTGCGACGGCGGACCGGGAATGGAAAAATACATGATTTAAACAAGCCGAGATAGAGAGCTAAGCGATCTTTCGGGTTGAAAATATAATATATAAGAAAAATTAAGCGCTAGCTTCGACCGTACGAAATCGTCGAAGGTAATTAAGAATGCTTCCTCTGTCGCGCGTAATTCCGCGCAATATTCATCCATCATGCCGACGCATTAACTCGCAACTAATCATCGAGCGCAAGTTCACGCATTTATTTTAATTTTTTTTTTGGTTCTCTTGCTTCTTGCGCTTATGCTGTTTCAGCTGCTGCTACTGCTTCCTAAAACGCAAGCGAGTAAAAAACTTATTACGCGCGCAGGCGGTAATTTTGCTGCTCCGACGCGACACACACAGACGTAGCTAGCACGAGTATAATATGCTACAGGGATACGGGGTCAAAATTGCCCCTTTTCTACTTGGTGTGCGAGCGCGCGCGAGAGACTACTGTCACCGGCACACGAGGCAAACGTTTATTTTCCAGCCATTTTGTTTTTTGTGTACGGCCGGGAGACTATTGCAAGCTCGCACACATTCACACATACACCGGTGCCGCGCCGCACCAACGTACCGTTGTAAAGCAGGACGTAATGGTGCGTACAAGCTGTGCTAGCTCCGACAGCAGCAGCAGCAGCACACAACAACACTGCAAATTGCGAGCCGAGCGACGCGTTTATACGTGCGACACTTGCACACCGCACACATATACACACACACACACGCGAAGCATGGCAACTGCACTGCAAGCATTACCCACCCAGACTTTTGAGATACCGCTCTCGTCGTTGTAAAGGCTCGAGAGAATAGTGTTGGTGCTGCTGTGGTGCTTTAATTTGCTCTTGGTTAAATGCGCGCGCGAGCTTCTGACGAATATAGGTCGCAGCTATATAGCTCTCGCAGAGATAGGGAGCTTGCAAGGGGTGGACTTTAATCTGCGGCCGTGCGAGACCGCGCGCGCGAGGCATTTCTCCGAGTGACGAATTATCCCGAGGACCTGAAGTTGTATACATATACACGTGTATAGGAATGTACAGTATAAATGCTCGTCGAAAAATAGCTCTTTGATATTCTCTACTCACTCTATATTGAGATAGCTGTACGGCGAGCAGCGAGCGTAATATATAAGTGGCCGAAACCGATCTCCGCGTAGATATGTACACATCGCCCTGCAGGCTAGGCATGTATATCCACTTGCATGTGTCTGTTTACGAAAAGATCGACGTTTCGTTTTACGCGGGTGTGTAGCTATTTTATTTTTGTTTTTTTTTGTTTTTATCGTTACAAATTGCACAGAGCTCGAGGCGACGTCGCTGCCGTACATCACGCGCCACGCTAGCCCTGGACGCGCGGAGCTTTTTGTTATTGTCTGTTTCTCTCTCTCTGTATCTGTCTCTTACTCAGGTCTCACCCCCTTCGCTCACTCACCTATCTCTCTCTCTCACTCTCTACTTTTGGCTGGAATGTTTATTGAATCCTGCGTGTGTGTGTGTGTACATTTTGTCTCTTCTATGTATACGTATTCAATTGACGGAAGTATTTTTCATTCGATACGAGTGCACGCACGCACGTACACCTATATGTATACTTCGCCCGTTGTTGCGGATAAATAATACCGTGCGAGCTACCTATATAATAGCGATTGGATAATTGATCTCCGAATTCGCCTTTACCTCTATCTCTCTCAATGTTTAATTTGGTTCAGCACGAGGCAGCTCACTTTTTTATACGCCCTTTTGTCCGACCCGAAAAGCTCTCTCGGAGCGTGGGCTAAAATGTATTCGAAAATGCGCAACCATTGCTACAGTGAGCCAGCCAGCCAGCCAGCCAGCACACGCTGCAGCTAACAGCAGGACGGAAATCTTTACTCTTTTTCTCTCTCTCTCACTCTCACAAGGAGAAAGAACGAAAAAAAGCTTTTGGAAATGTATATATATCCAAGTCAGACTGTGTGCAGCAGCGAGAGAGAACAGGCGGGCGCTCGTGCTTCTAAGGGCTCTCTGCAAAGAGCACGAGAGAGAGAGAGAGCAGAAAAAAGGAAGGAGAATGCGAGAGGTTAGAGGGGCGAGGCGGAGAGCCAGAGAACGAGCAAAGGTGCTCTCTCCGAAATCGAACCGCAAATGCATTTTACCACTTTGCAGCGTGAAAATATATATATCGCGCGCACACGTAATACGAAAATCGGGTAATTTTTTCTCTCTCTCTCTCTTTCTTGCTTCCCTGACCGTGTTCTTTTTCTTCGCCCCTCCCCTCTTTCCTTCGTTCTTATTATATCCCTTTTTTTATTCGCGCTTCAATTTGCTCTCGTCTTAAGCGCGCTCGATTCCCTTTGACGTAGTATATATATAACTTTGCCTTCGAACGCGCGCACGGCAAGGCAAAGAAGGCAGTGTACGGTATATAAGGAACGATAATCTTGATTTTGAAAAATGTATGAAACTTTATTGAAATCGAAGCTCGCCGCACAATGCTATCGTTTCTCGAGAATCTGATCATCCTAGCTCGCATATTATAGTTACTTTTACAAATCCCCGAGACTTTATGCATGGAGGGAAGCCAAGAATAGGAGAGCGAGCGAGACTTACATGTACGAGCGAAGGGACGACACACTCGCGCGCGATCGCAATGAAGGGTACAAAAGTCGAGTGATCTAGATAAGCCGCGCGCACAGAGAGAACGTGTGGAGCAGGAAGCACAAAGCCTTTTCTTGTATACACGCGCGCGTGGCGGTGAACGCGAGCGAGCGAGCGAGCGAGCGAGCGAGACTTGTTCCGAAAAACTTCCTTTACACCTTTCATATCACCTGCTATACGTGTATGTATACATTGGCGGTGCTCGCGCGCGAGAACTATCACGCGACAGGCACTACAGAGTCTCGAGAGGGTGAGTATTATGTACCTAACCGTTTGTGTGTGTGTGTGTGTGTGTGTGTGTGTGTGTGTGTGTGTGTGTGTGCACCGAGCTGAGATCGTGAATGTGACCACTTGGGCTAATTTTCGCGCTGAATTGACTTTTTCTTCATATCCGCTATACTAGATAAGAAGTAAGACGAGGAAAAAAATCAAGAAAAAGAAAAGTCAGAAAATCCCAACACAAGCATCGATGTTTCACATCTAGTGCATTATCAATGCATGCTTACTCTTCAAATCTTTCCCTCTCATTGAGTTAAGTAATCAGAGTAGTTTCTCGAGCTTTAGCGCACCAGATGTGAAACATCGATGCTTGTGTTGGGATTTTCTGACTTTTCTTTTTCTTGATTTTTCTTGATTTTCTCGTTTTTTTGATTCATGTTTTTTGTTTTTTTGTTTTCTTACTTTTTACTTGTTTGATTCTAGATTTTTGTATTAAATTGATTTTTTCTTGATTTTTCAAGTTTTAATTTGTTTTTAATTTTTTACTTCTTTTTTTGTTTCGACTTTTACTTGTTCGATTACTTTTAAATTCAATTTTCTTTAATTAGTTGATAAAGATGTTTCACATCTTGCAGCTGTTCATAAACAGCTGATTTTTTTTAATTTTTTCAATTTTCAATTTGTTTTATTAATCAAATTAGTGCATTGCGCTATTATCGTTCGTTGTATCTTAATATAACATGATAAAAATGCCGACTTCCCTTAAGAAGACACACACTATACATACATGCAGTAATAAGTATCAGATTTGACAACGTGCATGATTGTGCATAGTCTCGCGACGTATACGCATAGACAACACATACGTATTATATGTATTAGCGATACGCATAAGCAAGAGAGAGAAAGATATCTCAACGCAGTCAATCCCGTGAGCTGAGCCGACTGCTGTTGCTTTATATGCTGTTACGTTGCCTCGTGCGTATACGTAAACACAGGCATACGCGCGTCGAGTCTCCGCAGCGGGCAGCAGCAGAAAGCAGTTCTGTAGCTGGCGCGGCAGCCAATCACAGCGCGTAGCGCAAACCGACGCTGTATAGGCAGTTCTACTACCAAAGTTGCGCTCGCTCGGACGGACGGACGGACGGACGGACGCTCGGTTTTTACGGGTTTACCCCTGACACCAAACGCGAATATAGATGTTTCACATCAAAAATTGTTTACGCGTAACACAATGTACGAGTTATTTAATTTTATAAATATTATTATTAGCTCGCATCTCAAGTTATTTATGTTTTTTTCTTTTTTTTTTCTCGCCAACCTCAAGCTTCATCATGGGGAATAATATCAGGCATCGGCATTACCGCGGGCCTTCATCGTTTATGGGCTCATCGGAGTTACTCGGCAAAGCTGCCTCTCAGGATTTTCTTAGCCACTCTCTACTGCATGGCTGGCCAGGTAAGAGAAAAAAATATATATACCGTATTCCTCTTTGCTTCCATGTTGACTTTCATTAATATCCATTACTCCGGCAAAATGTAATATTATTTAATATCTCGTCCCGTATATATAAGGCAAAAGTAGGACGATGATGGTCGGAGGGGAGGGGGAGGGTGGCTTGCCGCCGCCGCACCGGAGGGTTGGATATTCATGCAACGTGACACGAACATGAAGAGTACATCAAGCAGAGGCGGGCGGTGGGTTTATTAAGTGCAAGTCTGCAGCGGTAACAAACATACCTATATCAAACGCAATTTCTATTTGATAGATTGACTGGGACGGGTTCGGCTGGTTTTTTCCCCTACAGATATTGAAAAATTGCGAATGAGCTATCGGTATTATAGACGAGCAGTCGTCGTACGTACATTATGCGCGAAAAAAAGGAAGGAATCACGAGTTTATTTTATAAAGTAGAAGTAATTGGAGCTTTCGGCGATGTGCACTGTAAACGCGCGCGCGTTTCCGGCGAGCTTTTATTAATCTTACGAATTGCGATATCTCGTCGAGCTTATACGCGCGCGGAGCAAGAGAGAGAGAGAGAGAGAGAGAGAGAATCTCTGGACTTGATCTCCGAACCGAATTCAATTTCCGCGCGCACGGGTTTTTGTTACTTCTCGTTCGTGCGCGCTCTCTCTCTCTCTCTCTCTCTCTGTCTCTCTACTCGCTGGATATCCTAACGCAACAATATAATTCAGCTGAAATTTGCACTGTAGTCTTGGCAGCTCTAGAGAGAGAGAGAGAGAGAGAGAGAGAGAGAGAGAGAGAAGTAAGCGTCGTTTGTTTCGCCGTATACACATAATTCTGTTGTTTCGAGGAGTCTACAACAGAAGCTCCCTCTCTCTCTCTCTCTCTCTCATCCAGCAATGTAAGTGTGGCACGGGTGGCTGAGTGTACAAATACACACGTACAGCACACGTTTATAGATGTATATAATGTAAATCCAAGCATCCAAAGGTATAATTAGAACTTTGCTGCTGCTGCTGCTACTGCTCGCTCGGCAGAGCCTGGGCTGCAGGGAGAGAGAGAGTGGAAGTTTAAGTTCGTACAATTTCAAGTTTCAACAATGCAACACCATAGGCGAAACTTAAACAGAGAGAGAGAGAAACAGGGAGCTTGCAAGGAGGAGCTGCGAGAGCCGAAGAGCTCCACGCATTATATTTGAAATGAATTAAGTCGGTTATTTCACGGGGAATCGTTGCGCGACGGTTGTTTTATGCACGAGCTGAGTGCAGATCGCGAGCAGTAGTAGCAACAGCAGCACAACAATATAATGATAAACAACTCTCTAAGGGAAGAGAAATTTCAATAAGCGAAGATTTTGTAATGGCAACTTGGCTCGAAGTGAATACCGTATGATATATAAGCGTACGCTTCTCTTTTACGTCGATCGACGATCGTCGGTACTTTCTTTTCAAAACTTGCATTCGGACGCTTACATTGCGCTGCCAAAACAGTATATACAGTGGATATACCCATAGCGTGTTGGCATTAAAAATGACTTATAAGTATACGATACAGAGCAGAATCTGAATTTAGCCACAGCCACTATTGCCTAGGCAAAAACAGAAATGCTTATGATGCTCACGAAAGTGGGGGAAATTTCCGAATTTTTCAGGCAATAGCCGCAATGACTGAATAATTTTAGGTAAAAACGGCAATGCCTATTATGTTCTTTAGGCACTTTTGTGAAGTCCCTTCTGAGACGTCGATCGGACTTGACATTGCCGACATCGATACATATTAGTACCTAAATTACCTGTAGATGGGGCACAGCCGAATTTTACGAAGTCGAAATAGGAACAGAGCAGAGTTATGGGTAATTATAGAAGAGCTACTGAACGGTACCCGTAAAAATAATTCAGTCTATCCTCCTGTTCACCTTCAACTCTTTTCTTATAAATATTGTGTGCCATTAAATTCTCACCCAGTGTGCTCTTCGCCGCAGCAACAGCAGCAGCAGTATATAATATGCACTAATACATATAGAAGCGACAGCTCGAACAGGTCGAGTGGCTCCGCACACGGAAGAGCTCTTAAAGCATAGTAATATACTTTCATCTCTTATTCGCCACCGCCACCGTTGCGGATGCATTACACGATAAAATACGGCGTGTTTTTAAGGAACGATTCTTCATCCGGCCGGGCGCGCGCTCGTCCTCGGTCCTACCTCCTCGGTCTCTCTTTGTGTTTATTACTCATTATGAATGACCGCGCGTACGCGAGCTTGTAATTCAAGACCGGAAACGAGCGCACGAGTATACCAATTATCGTTCGTTGAAGCATTATATACGTAAGCTCTTTCTCTCCCTCTCTCTCCGTCATGTTTTCCATAAATTTAAACGAAAAGCTGTTACGAGCTGCGGATGCTGTTGCTTCGTTGTTGTACGCACGCGCTATACTATTTAATTGTAAAGTGAAAATCTGCCAACAGTTTCCGAAACTTGAAAGTTTCCAGCAGCTAGTTTCGATGCAGTTCATCAACTGTATAAACTTCTATATACTATACACAATCTGCGTGCATATACAATTTCGCACTGCGGGACGAGCGAGCGAGCGAGCGAGAGAGACGATTAACGATAATGCGTACGCGCGATAAACTTATTAATTTTAAATATGTGAAGTGTACGGCGAAGCTTACGCGCATTATGCGCCACACGCAAAGAGTCACGGCGTGAATCGAGCTTGCGCGCGACGTAATACAACGCGCGCGCGTAACGAGCATTTGTCATCGTTGATTTTACGTCGAGCGAAGAGCGAAATTACATAAAACGAAAGCGCGTCATTTTCACCACCCGCCGAGACAGATAAACAGTTTTCCTCGACACCGCGAAACGACGTTTTTTGTTTTTATTGAAACGATAGTGTCTGGGCGCGCGTTCTTACGTAGGTATACGCGCGTATGTAATGTATAAGTGTAGGTATATATATATGTAGGTACGATAGTATTATGTGTACATAGAGGCAGTTAGTGCGCCATTTCGTCAGTTGCTCGCGCGAGCGCCTGATAGCCTCGTTTGCCCGCGCGCACAGTACATATAAACGTAGACAATGGTTAAAGAGGCACCACCACCACCACCGCGAAGGGCTTGCCTTTTTTCGAATAAAGATCGAGAGATAGAGAGAGAGAGAGAGAGAGTAAGCTCCGAGGGCAAGAATGCAAGAGAGAAAAAGACATTCAAATATAGTTGAACAAGTGCCCTATGGCCATATTATATAGCTCTGCCTGGCGCTTTTTATGCCCAGCGCGACTATATCGTAGACCAGGGCGAGCGATTACAGCGGGCGAGCTCGTATAGGGCTTGCAGTGGAGCTTTTTGTCTTCTTTTATATATTATATACCAACGAGGCTCGTGTAAGTCGAATAATTGCTTCGCGAGATTGCGAGAAAAAAAAAGAGGTGCCTCGCGGTCGAATGATTACTAGCGATAAATAAATATTGCATGGAAGCTTAGAAAAAAGGACAAATAATACTTCTTTTTGTGCGCAACCTCCTTGACTGTAAAATAATTAATCTCACGCTAATAAACCGGCTGGAATATCGTCATCGAGCGGCATATCGTATTCAATTACCCGTTATAGTGTATCAGTCTCTCGCTATAAATTACGCGAATCGATCGAGGGACGAAAAAAAAAGGGCGCTCACGATGAGGAGTAATAAAAGATATATAATATGAAATCGGAGTGACACGCTACACAGCGGAGAAAGAGACACAGCGAGAGAGAAAGAGAGAGACAGCGCCAAAGTGCGAGAAAACGATACAACGGAGAAATTGTTGGCTTGTGCGCGCACTCGGCGAGGCGCACGACGGCAGCAGCGCAAGCTAGTGCTAAAGCAAAATAAAAAAAGAAAGAAAGAGGAAGAAGGAAAAAATGAGACTGGAAGAGAAAAGAGCGATATACAGAGTACAAAGTGCTACACGAGATCGTAGGAAACACAACTGCGAGGGTGTATCGTACGTTGCTGTTGCCGCTGCTACTTATATATATTGTAATGTATAGATAGATCGACGTATCTCTCTCTCACGTTGACTCTCTCTTGCGATATACACCGGCAATTTTTATTTTTTACCTCGGAATGAGTTGATATCTTCGTATGGATAATTTATATCGAGACTGGATGCGCTTCCTGGGCAAAAAAGTGTATCGGGATCAGTTCGTGTCCGCGCAGAAATTTATTAAAACTTTTATTTGATTTTTTTATTCAAGTTGATAAAAAAAAAACTTGATCGAAGACGTTTATTATTATTATTTCTTTTTTTTTGTAGGAAAGCTTACGTGTTCGAAATATCTGAGCTGCGAGAGAGAGAAAGAGAGAGAAAAAAACTCGACGTGCGACGTTCATCAAAAGATTTTACGAAGTATAAAACTAATCTCACGTAAAAGTTTTAGCATTACCCCCGCGACGTGCACGTGTAGTAGCTGCAGCATTGGTAGTAGTGGTAGTGGTAGTGGGGTGTTATGAAAGTGCAATAAACGAATATTATAATCGTGACGCCAACTTGAAACGCGCGTAATTCTCAAGTTTTTTTTTTACAGCTCAGCGGCGTAGTACTATGTATACGTATGAAATCTCGACTATCTCGCCCTCTCTGACTTTTCTGTTTTTTCTTCTTCGTTTCCCCACAGACGCACTTTTACAAATGGATCCGAGATCACAGGACTCATCACAAGTTCACGGAAACCAAGGCGGATCCGCACGACGCTAATCGCGGCTTTTTCTTCTCCCACGTCGGCTGGCTCATGATGAAGCGACATCCGGCTGTCATCAAGTACGGCAAGAAAATCGACATGAGCGATATCGAGGCGGATCCCGTCATTCGCTTCTTCGACAAGTAGGTTGATCAAGTGTTACACGCACTCGTGTGTACGTCGAGGACGAGCGAAAAAAAAACAAACAACGCGGAAAAATTCATCGTAACGATTCGGTCGGGGGGAGTATCTCTCTTTCCCCGATGGAGCGAAATAACAATTTTTTTTTTCGTCAAGCACACGCGTATCATCACGCGCCGCGAGGACGACAAAAAAAAATTTCGATTTATCAAACCATTTCACCGAGATTTAATATACCTCCAATGTCACCCTAAATAAAAAAAAGCAAGCGAGTACGGTTGCAAAAAAAAAAAAAAATAGTGCAAGCCAGTACAGTAGTTCGAAGTGACAACACGTACATACACACACGCATAAAGAAGGGCGCGTATCTGTTGATATACATTTATATATAAATATAAATAAAAAAAATACAGGTATACAGGACTCGTGCGCGCGCGGGTATATACATTTATCACTGGTCGCGCGACGCGTGACTTCCATCGACAACGAAAAAATCGAAAATTGACCGTACACTACATAACACATACACCCGAACGCGTATAGTATATAGTGGCGCAGCGGATCCTCTCACTCACTCTCAATCTCTCTATATAAATCATACAGCCGCAAACTACACTATGTCGAGAGAGAGAGAGAGAGAGAGAGAAATAGAGAGCATTGAGGGAGTGGGAAGTTGTGCTTCAGCTGGTAATATACCATGAATCTCGCATGCACCGACACGTGTATATATACGAGGGTGTGTACATCCCTTACACACGTACATACATATATTTCATTTAACGCGCGGACTACACAGCCACGCGTAATACATTCCAGAGCACACGAGGATAATATTATATATATGTGTGTGTGTGTGACGCAGGTACTACGAGTTGATCATGCTGTCGCTGGCTTTCGTCATACCGACGCTCATCCCGGTCTACTGCTTCGGCGAGACTTATTACGTGGCGATTCACGCGGTCATCATTCGCTACGTTTTCCTGCTCAATCAGACCTTCCTCGTCAACAGTTTCGCCCACATGTGGGGCAATCGTCCATACAACAGGTGAGAGAGAACTTGCTACCGAGTTATACGTATGTAGAGGGTGTGTGTGTGAGTACCTACGAATGAATGAGAAATCAGCTTTGGATGTGTGCGGCATCGTGGTTATATAGATATAGATTAAAGTCAGCCTAAGTTTCGGCAAAAGTTTCGAGTGGCAAATTCCAAGCTGCAGTTCGAATTTACTTGAGAGATACTCGATAGAGCACTCGATTGATCGGGATGTACGATTCGAATGTAAATATAACCATCGATTTATTTCATTGTCCTTGTGTATTCGTCGTGTAGAAACGTCAAACCGACGGACAACGCCGTGGTGTCGTTCTTCGCGCTGGGCGAGGGCTGGCACAACTATCATCACGCCTTCCCCTGGGACTACAAAGCCGCCGAGCTGCCCGGCTGGATGCTGAACCCGAGCACGGCCTTCATCCAGCTCATGGCCCTGGTCGGTCTGGCCTACGATCTCAAGACGCCGAGCAAGGATCTCATCGAACGCGTCAGTCTCAATAAGGGCGACGGCACGAGCAGCTTCTGGGGCAGGGATCATCATCGTCAGCGGGACGCGGAGATGAAAAAAGATCGTTGAAATTTTTTTTTCATTTATAGGTGATAATATGATGCGTGTACAAGATTGAATCGAGAACACCGTTAGTCTATTTAAATGTACCATTTTTTATTTTAATTAATAAGTTTGATGATTTTTTATGTAAATAAATGAATATCATATTACGTTTATGAAGATGACGATAAGTGTACTAATTTAAAAATAACAACGTGCCACAGATTTGAGCACTGATAATTTTTTTTTATTCTCTCGAGTCTCCAGCTATCGCGAAATAATATCTGAATTTTTCATAATCACGAGTTTCTGACACCCAAGCCGAGGTAAACAATCAACGTCATCTTTCACTTTTAACCTCCTCCTCTTCCTCCTTTGCCGGCGCGATATTGTGTCATCCCCAGAGCAGAAACTTTTTATCGTAAATTTTTTTTGTCCTTAGCCTGTTCTTCGTGGACATACGCCAAAATGCAAAGTCAAAGCATTTTAATTATCAACATCCGCTCGTGCACGCGCGCGCTCGAGAAAACTTTTAATAAGAAATGACTTTTGCACTTTATAAAGACGGCAAGTCACGCGAACGGTCGCGTTGCACACGATCTTTGGCTATTTTTGTCCAGATTCTCGTTTTGTTTGAATTTTATTATAGCCGTTTTCTTCATGTAGAATAAAACAGTTAATTTTTAACAACCTAACAGCGTTCATTGTTTTGACAGCGTGATCAAACCTTCTAAAGCTGTGCTTTGACTTATACAAAATTTTTACTTTGTCACTTACAAGTTTGTATAGAACGGTACTCGCCATCTAGTGGCGAAGGCTGAAAATGAAACATATCTTATTCTAAGCGATTGAAAACTGGTCTTTCGAAAAACAATTAAACTTTCTTTTTAAGGTCAAATGTACTAAAATCGCAAAAAACAAGCTGATTAATGTCCATGTATTTTAAAAAATTTTCAACTATTAATATTTTTTTTACTTTTTCTCGATCATCATACGATAATTTACTCTTCACGCTATTATACGTTTATTCTATTATTTGCTTTTCGCTTATTTTCATTTCAATTCTTCACCCCCATTCTCCGAGTTGAGCTTTACTTTTTTTTTTCGTTATACGAGGGCAAAAAATTTGCGAACAATGAAGTCCGCGCGCGTGCATAACACACACGCGCGTCTGCTCAGCAAGTAGGAAGTACACGTATGGAGCAAAATGAAAGCGAATTGACACACAATGCCCTAAAAGCTTTTCGTGCTATTTCGTGCTCTCTATCTCTTTCGCATTTTTCAAGCTTTCTCCTTCCATCCCTCTCTCTTCCTCCCACTGTCATCAGTTTGGGAATTTTTGAAATGACTCGGTGTTACGCGGTATTTGCGCGCGCGCGCGGGTGTCGCTGTAAAGCGCTTCGATGCATATTCAAAATGTTGGCGCGCGGCTCTCGAGCTCGGTGACGGGGAAAATTTTTCAGCGCTATATACGTATATGGCCTCTCGATGACTCATTGGAATGCCTGCGCAACGCCCGATAGCGAGTACAGAGGCAGCAGCAGCAGCAGGAGTACGTTGATTCAATCGTGGAACGCACGCGGGCAAGCGCTAAAAATTGAAAATGGACGATAGCGCATGCCACCGCATAATGTACGAGAGAGAATCGCCATACACGTATACAGTCTCAAAAGTAATTTTTTATATCTCGAGCTGGCACACGCGTACGTTCTTGGCCATATGTATGTACGCGCACGAGAGAGAGAGAACGACGACTCGATCGGCGCGATAAAATTTTTAAAACACCTTCCCACACGCGCGTGCACGAGTAGTATAAGCGTCCATAATTCCCTCGAGGTCCTTAAAAAGAAGAAGAAGATGAAGAAAAAAAAACGAAGAGGATAAAAGGTAGCGCGATAAGACAGTCCATAATAGAGCAAGAGATACGCGGCGATGGGTTATGCCAGCCCAGGCGGGCGCGCGTATAATGTGCACGGCTCCGAAGCTGCTCTCTTTCTTTCTCTCTCTCTCGAGTTGGACTTGGCATCGTGCGTCGTTATCATGCCGCAGTCGCCCGCGCGCGCATGTTATATATACCTTATATATGGTATACGCAGCAACTTCAACAGCCTCCGAGTGTGTGCAGTGCCTATATACCGTAGAGCTCTCTCTCTCTCTCTCTCTCTCTCGGCAACGTTTACTACCCCCTGCCGTGTGTCCGTATATAAAAAAAACCTCGAGCTTTTCTCACATTGTGTTGGTGTGGGCTAGTGCGCTTTATGTGCTTTGTGTACAGGCGCCCGCGCGATGCCACGAGAATTTCAGAGTACGCCGCTCGAAGAAGTCGAGTGGAAATATCGTATATATACCGCAAAGATAGATCATTCACGGAGAGGAAAGGCGGGGGAACAACGAAGAGGGTTTAGTTACAGTACGCAGGCCTCCGTTTTCGAGTGGTATAATTGACTGCTCTCGGTCAGACGACTCGAATTGCTGCGGGTCGCGTTCGTTAAATTCATTTATTTGGTAACATTATCTATCCAAGTTGTCTCGTCTCTCTTTCTATCTCGTTGCGTTTGTTTTCTCTTGTTTTACCACATGTGAAGTCAGAGTCTCTTTGATGATTAGAAAGTGTAAATCCAGTGAGAAGTGAGCAGCCTCCACTACGTATTTTACTTCCAATAACTGTACATAGATCGCGCTACTTTAATTGAATCTCTCGTAGCTGCGACCATGTGTTCTCACTTTCTATATAGATCGTGGTGCATGTAACTTCAGTACAGGTTACGACGCCGCAGCGTGAACAGAAAAAAAAGATCGTGTCGTTTTCATCGAGTAATTTTTGTGAAAAAATTAAAAAATATTCTACATTACAAACAATTTTGTGCTGTGTATGAGCGAGAAGAAAAATGTCCACGTCCGACGACGAATCCGTTGAAAATTTGGATAGCCAACAAAGAATAGAAAAATTGAAGAGCTATCGAAAAAATATCAATTGGGAGGTTGAAGGCGAGCGACACGAATTTCTCCGTAAAATTTATCCTTTAATAAGTGATTGGGAGGGCCCAGATCCCAATCTCCAAGATATTTTTCGGACCGAAGAAATTGAGTGTCTTCTTTTGGATGCCGTTTACTATCCTGAAGGCAAGCAAATTCCCATAGAACTTAGTCAATTCTTCCATTTCGTGATTCGCAGCGGATACAAGGACAAGCCCGAAGTTGATATAGACGGCAAGCCATCGTCGCGTCGCACTACACCAGTGCATCATGCGGCTAGACTCGGATACCGCAAATTCATGTGGATGCTTTTTAGAATATACAACAAATGCGACGTAAATTACACCGACGAGTTGGGACATACGCATTTTCATGTGGCCTGCGAGTTTGGCTTGGACTATGTCATCAAAAGATTTCTTGAACTTGGACATGACCCCAATTGTATTCTTGAAAAATCGAGCTCATTTGATCCACCGCTGTTCTTGGCTCTGAAACATGGAGAGAATATGATGGTCGAATTGCTTCGTAGAATAGACTTTGATCCGAATTTAGTCAACAAGGACGGGTCGACGCCTCTGCATATGATTTGTCAAAATTTGAGCTTTAGTGGTAACTACACTGATACTGTTACGAGGACTTACTTTGCTCATAACTTGGCGAAGACGTTATTCGAGCTCAACAACGAAAAATACCAACCAGTGCAGATCGACGCCCGAGACAAGTTGGGCAACACACCGCTACATATAGCCGTAAAATCGGAAAACAAGGAAATGATTGAATTTCTGTTGAGGAAAGGCGCCAATCTGAACTTGGCCAACGAGGAGGGATGGACAGCTCTGCATCATTTCTACCATCGGCTGCCTATGTTTTTGGATTCGAGTTCGATTGATCTATTCTTCAAGATCTGCGACGAAAAACAGCAGCTTGTAATGGTCGACGCTAAAGATAATTTGGGTCGGACACCACTTCAATGGGCCGTGGCCAATCTCTGGCCAGATTGCATCGATATTCTCTTCGAACATGGCGCTGATCTTTCTAACTTCGTTTTTCCTACTGAAAACTATTTCGCCGAAAGATTTAATTCGTGGGACTATGAGACATACGGAAAATATGAATATAGATTCCACCTAGCTTCTAGAGCTCTGGCTGTGGTCGAGCTCATAGTGAAAAGAGGGTATCAATTGGATCGGAGCGACGTCCTGACGGTTATGAAATTTTTCGCCAAACACGGATTGTTCGAGAAGTTGGACGAACTTAAAAAATCTGGTTGGTATGATGAGGGGAAGGAGGTGGCGTATATAGACACAACAAAAGTGATGATAAGTCCGAGTGTGTCGCTCTACGATCTGACTCGGCTACGACCCGAAAAGGCGGAAAAACTACTCACGTACACAGACTACTGGAAGTTCCGGTTGGTGCACTATAATTTATTCGAAAATTATAGTGAACCTTGTGATTTGCATCTGTGTGAAAAACTATCAAGGGAATTTTTTCTGCACTGGGCCCTGGATCCTTTCTGGGAGTTGATTCACAAACGATTACCACTGGAGATCTGCGAAATGATCCTTGAGCATCTGACGAACGAAGATTTATATCACATTTGCTTGACAGCTACACTGCAAAGCTCTAAACCTCATTAGTACACTTGCAGTAACTTTTGATTATGTTTGGTGTTATATAGATGTTAAATTTGCAATTTTTTTTTTTAAATTCAAATAAATAAGTTTGAGAAAATAAGTCTTGATTGTTTTATTGAAAAAATATTGTTAATTATAATGTTCCTATGTACTCGAAGTTCGAACTTCGATATAACTAGCTGTGTTGTAAGCTGTGTTGGTGTGAGGTGCAGCAAGCCCCGAGACATTCGTTCGAAACCATGTCTCAGCCAATATTCCACGTCCAGGAAAGATGAAAAACAAACGAAGAGTGCGAGAGAGAGAGAGAGAGAGAGAGAGAGAGAGAGAGAGAGAGAGAAGAGAATGAGCGAGAAAAGAAAAGAAAAAAAAGAACGAAACACGAGGAAGTAAAAGCGCGTGGCAGTGCTCACGGACGATAAGAAATAACGGAAAAGGAACCTGCGAAGGTTGGGCTCGAGATTGCTCGTTCCTTTCCTTGTGTTTTTTTTCCTTGAAGGCGCGAGCTTGAAGGATTTCCACACGTCCGAACGTACGGCATGGCGTATTTTTCGTCAAGATTTATCGTGCACGCCTCATCGTCGCGTCGCAGCTCTCATATTCTCGGGGCAATCTTCGTCGTCGTCTATA